GGGTCACCTTCCACCTTGATGCCTACTGTCGTCCACGTTGCTTTTTAGGCGATGGGTTGTTGCGCTCAAGGTGAACACATAAAGCTTCTACCAGTGGAGAAACATCCACTGCTGTGGCAGGGCCTGCTGATGCTCCCACCATTGCTCTGGAAAAAATGGAAAAAAAGAACTATCCTCCTTTCATATTTGGAAAGATTTTGTCCTTAATTTTGCTCTTTGAAGAAGTAAATTAATCACAAAAGACAGCTTATTTTGTTGTTGTTATTTTCAAAGGAATTAAAACTAGTTGCATGCATAACTTATTCATGATGAAATTTAGAAAATGCAATAAAAAGTCTTACCTTCTCAAGCTCACAACTCCCTGTTGTCCTGACTGCTTTTGGGGGGAGGTCTTCTTTCTTCTTTCTTCTGAACCGACCAGATTGTTGTGGGTCTGCCCTATATCTTGATGGGTACTGCAACCTTTCTTCACGTAATCCTACAATCACACAACAAGTTTCCTGTACACATAACCAGATCAGAGTCATGAGAATGTTAATGCTACATTATATGCATTGTTTTTATCATGTGTTTTATGCCTATAAATGCCATCTCAAATGAACAACATGTACCTTCAGGCAGCTTCCCCCAGAGAGATATCAGGTGGTCTGCTGCAGCCTCAGTCAAAGTTGGGGCATTATGTAGAGCAAACAAGGCCTTTGCTATATCTTGGATGGCCTTCCATCCCACCACTCTCTTTGGTCCAATGGATTCCTGCAAAAATATAATAAGAATAAGAAGAAGCATAAATTTAAATAAAACAAATAATTTGTCAAAATAGAGCATGTTTGTATTTATGTTTCTTATTTATCAAAAACAAACTGAAATTAAATCACTGAGAATAAATATGCCCTATTTTAGGACCTCTGACTTTAAAGATGTTTTCTGTGATAAGCATGAGCATGCAAAGAATATTACCNGGCAGATCGCTGCACCCTTTCTAGTTTTATTAAATTTTGTTTTGTAATGTGATCCCAAGATACAGAATTTAACTCGAGCCTTGGGTTCTTATTTCTGTCAAACACTCGCCTAATAGTTGCCCATGTCTGATTTGCACTCTTAACAATTTTATTTATATGTGAATTTAAAGTCAACTTCCTTGCTGCCAACCAGGCCTGGACACTTGGATACTGGGTACCCTCCACGGCAGGACAGAATTCATCAAGGCCCAATTGTCCTAGGTGACGACTGTGCCCAGTTTCTTTACGCTTTGCCTGGTTGCAGCGTTTGCTTTTTGTAAATGCTTGATAAGAAAAAATCTTCTTTAACAGCTCTGTCCTACACCGAAGGAAAAATGTTTAACACCACAACAAAAAACCGCAGTGAAATATCTCTTTAGTAGTAATATATGTTCCCACATATTACACTTTTGATATGTAGCATTTTATTGACAAATCAACTGATGAAACACTTTAAATAAGTGAAATAATGTACATGCTTCAAAAAATTAAAAAAATTCTTACCATTTCAGCAGCGTCGTCTAGTTGATTTCATACAGCTAGATGTTGGTTTGGCTCATCAGTCTATCATGCAAGATGACAAGGTTCCGGATGCGGTGGTATTTATCCAGGGTCACCTTCCACCTTGATGCCTACTGTCGTCCACGTTGCTTTTTAGGCGATGGGTTGTTGCGCTCAAGGTGAACACATAAAGCTTCTACCAGTGGAGAAACATCCACTGCTGTGGCAGGGCCTGCTGATGCTCCCACCATTGCTCTGGAAAAAATGGAAAAAAAGAACTATCCTCCTTTCATATTTGGAAAGATTTTGTCCTTAATTTTGCTCTTTGAAGAAGTAAATTAATCACAAAAGACAGCTTATTTTGTTGTTGTTATTTTCAAAGGAATTAAAACTAGTTGCATGCATAACTTATTCATGATGAAATTTAGAAAATGCAATAAAAAGTCTTACCTTCTCAAGCTCACAACTCCCTGTTGTCCTGACTGCTTTTGGGGGGAGGTCTTCTTTCTTCTTTCTTCTGAACCGACCAGATTGTTGTGGGTCTGCCCTATATCTTGATGGGTACTGCAACCTTTCTTCACGTAATCCTACAATCACACAACAAGTTTCCTGTACACATAACCAGATCAGAGTCATGAGAATGTTAATGCTACATTATATGCATTGTTTTTATCATGTGTTTTATGCCTATAAATGCCATCTCAAATGAACAACATGTACCTTCAGGCAGCTTCCCCCAGAGAGATATCAGGTGGTCTGCTGCAGCCTCAGTCAAAGTTGGGGCATTATGTAGAGCAAACAAGGCCTTTGCTATATCTTGGATGGCCTTCCATCCCACCACTCTCTTTGGTCCAATGGATTCCTGCAAAAATATAACTAAGAATAAGAAGAAGCATAAATTTAAGATTGATAAATGAAAAAAAAATGTCCTACAAATAATTTGTCAAAATAGAGCATGTTTGTATTTATGTTTCTTATTTATCAAAAACAAACTGAAATTAAATCACTGAGAATAAATATGCCCTATTTTAGGACCTCTGACTTTAAAGATGTTTTCTGTGATAAGCATGAGCATGCAAAGAATATTACCAATCAGCCAATCAGTAGACAAAGGGGAAAAAAGCATTAACAGCAAAACATGATCAAGTGAACATTTAATCACTGTATGATAATCATCATCATACCTTCATCCATCCCTCTGTTTGCTTCTGGGTCATGAGTATTCCCACTTTCCCCCTCCACCGGGTCATCACCTAAAAGCAAATAAATGAACTAGAGGATCAGAGAGGCGATACTGCCTTTGGATATTGCACCACCAGCTGGAGTAAGCGCATTCATATGGAACCCCCCCCCCAAAAAAAAAAAAAAAGGACACCACCACCAATCTAGTGCTTGACAAGCACTATAAAATGCAATCAACAAGAGTTCTCAAATTATGCAAAAAAAATATAGCTAAAAATGGTACAATCAATCAGATTTTTGAATTGACCTGCATTTTCCTAACATTGATCACTCCTGTAAATTCTCTAGACAATAGACCTATTAGTTTTCCTTGAAATGTGTCGCACTGTTGCATATATGCTAACAAAGGAGAAAACCTAGGGACAATGCCGGGAACATCTGCCAGTTTTGAAGATATGAGGGGCAAGAAAATATGCAAAGCTCAGTTCATGGTAAAAAAAGTAGGTCAAAGATCAATTCCAATATCACAACAGTAACCATGAGCATTTCTATGCCAATTTTGGAGATTTAAAGTCCAGAAAACATGCAAAGTAAAGTCCATCATAAAAAGTAGGCCAAAGGTCAATTTCAAGGTCACAGTTAGATTGCCAGTATATGACTTCTTATTCAAATTCACAGCAACTTTGGGTGTATCTCTGCCAGTTTTAGATATTTAAACACTAAAAATTTGCAAAGTTCAGTTTACGGTGAAAACTAGGTCTTTTTGGGGTCACAGTTAGATTGCCAGTAAATGACTTCCTATTCAATTTTAATAGTAAATATGTGTATATCTTGGAGATATAAAGATCAGAAAAGGGAAAGAAATTAGCAAAGTTCAGTTCATGAGAAAAAGAAGGTCAATGGTCAATTTAAAGGTCACACTTAGATTGCCAGTATATGACTTCCTATTCAAGTTCAATAGTAACTATTGACCTATCTCTGCCAGTTTTGGAGATAACAGGGAACGAAAATCTGCAAAGTTCATTTCATGGTAAAAAGTAGGTCATAGGTTAATTTTAGGGACAGTTAAATTGCCTCTAATGACTTCTTATTCAAATTCAATATTAACTTTTCAATAGTTACCTATTTTTGCCAGTTTTGAAAGTATAAACATTTAAAAAGTTGCAAAGTTCAGATTATGGTGAAAAGTAGGTCAAAGGTTAATTTTAAGGTCACAGTTAGATTGTCAATATATCACTTCCTATTCAAGTTCAATAGTAACTATGGACCTATCTCTGTCAGTTTTGGAGATACAAGGGACCAAAATGTTGCAAAGTCCAGTCTATGGTGAAAAGTTGGTCAAAGGTCAATTTAAGGTCACAGTTAAATTGCGAGTATATGACTTCCTATTCAACTTCAATAGCAACTATAGCCTTATCTCTGCCAGTTCTGGAGATATAGGGAAATTAAATGTTGCAAAGTTCAGTCTATTAGGTTTGTGTAGTTTCTGAATATCAGCGCAAATAATTTTTTCTTTCGTAAAAAATTTAGTTTTTTTGAAAATTTTGGCCCGTTTGACCTTGAAATAAAGGTCAAAGGCAAATCCGTGGGCATATCTGTAATCTCCATATCTGTAATCTCCACTTTCGGTCAGCTGTCTGTAGAAAATTTTCCCATAATTCCTTCGGTAGGGTAGATAATTAGCATTTAATTTTGCCATTTTTGGACAAGGGTGCATTGCAATGAGCGCCACACCTAGACCCCAGCACCTACAAAGCCCAAATTTTACGTGGAACGAGTTGAGATTATAGATGACCTAAATCCAAGAGAAGGGTACTCAGGCCCTTACCGTCTAGGAGGAGAAGCGGTAACGGTAACATGGCGGCGGAGCCGGCGGAACGATCCTGACGGGACTAGAACCATGTGTACCTGTGTACCGCCAGCGGTACAATTAATAGTATAAGCTACTCTGAGGCAATCTGAAAACAATTACATGCAGGGAACAAAAGATACATACACTGCATAAAAAAACAAATTGCATTCATCAAAATAATTCCAGTTATAAAATGAGTTAATCAACAAAAACAAATCATGCACTCCTCCTCTTCCTCATACCCCTCATCTTCCTCTTCTTCGTCCTCCTTGATGTCGTCCACTGTGTCAGGATCAAGTACTATTGTGGAGGTCCACCGTCTACCAGTTTGGCTATACAGGTACTCCACCACTATCATTTCCCCACTGTACTGTAAAGGAGGATGGAAAGATGGGTCGATAGGCTCACCATACACCTGTGCACTGGCTCTGTTCAGTTCCAGCTGAACAGCACTGTTATAGAAGTGCCCACATTCCCGCCCCTGCTCTCTGTCTTTATTCCATCGCACAATGCCCTCCAAAAGGTATGCTTGGAAATGGCTGTCGTTTGCAACTGTACCTGTTTTAATAGTGCAAGTGAATGTAAGCAGCTGGCATTACAGAACTTTTTATCTAATATACAGTTTATCAAGTAAACAAAAAGTTTCTCTCAAACTTTTTCAATCTAATAATAAAAGTACAAATGAATAGGAAGAATACCTCTGATTTCAGTGAAACAATATCTACACACTATAAAACGAAAATAAGAATTCATTTAAATTTTATTTCCCTATAACATACCTGGTATGAATCTGACAATGTGGTTGTGAAACAACTCCAAGGAAACAGAGCCTCTTGCACATCGGTACACGGCCAATTCAATGCCTCCCTTTTTTATTGTCCTGATTTGTGTGACAGGTTCTTGCCCTCAAGATCCTTCATAATCATGATATGTAAAAGAATTACAAAAATTCTTAGATAAACTTCAAAATTTTTTAAAAGCTGTACTAATGAGGATCTAGATAAAATGAATACATGAACAAAATGCATTATACTTGAAAAAAATGGCAGAGAATTCAAACTTAACAACTTATATGATATAACTGTCATATTTGGTGTCTGAAAGAAAAATCACATGTCTGGGGTATATTTCAATTAATTTGTATATGGTGCACAAATCATAATTTATCCTACCTGAATACATGCCAAATGGAGTTTTTGTTCATCCCAGATCTGGGCTGCTAGGTCTGCATCCATCACAGGTATACCCATGGTGCCCTTGCCAGACTCAGAGGAGAAGGAGGACAACAGGTTGTCTATGAGGGATCGAGTCTTTTTAGCCCCTCTAGTTCTACGCTTGCAGTGCAACTGAAGCTCTTTCTTGGTAATATGAAAATCACGATCAGCTTCAGAAGCACGCCACACACCACTAGAGAGGAGTTCAGCCTCCTTTGCCGCACGAAGCCGCGACACATCCTCTGGATCAAACTCAAATATACACCCTGACAGGCGACCCATGAAAGCGGCATATAGAGCATGACTCTCAGAGGTGCAGGCAGCTGCAATACGACGCATGAAGTGCTAAATGTCCAATCTAATGTTGAGTGACTTCCATTGGTGGAAAGACAAACGAAGTCTCTCAGAGCAACAGTCACGATCTACATACAACAGTGAAGGAAGTGGAACTCCTGCAGTGAAGGAGGTGGAACTCCTAACCCATAAAACCCTCTGCCATCATATTCAAGCCAATGCCTTCTGAATCAGTAAGGACAGACATGAGGACCTGGCCAAATTCATTCCCCACATTGGTCACCCAAGATGCCGTGCCACGAGCATGTCCACCAAGCTTTTTGGCAACCTAAAAGGAAAATATAAATGCATTACAGTAAACCATTTACTAGGGACACACAAATGTTACTTATCATCAACTATCAAATCAGTTTGTCATGGTTATACACATATTTCAATACTGTTTAAGAGGCAGACCTGAGCGTGTCCATCAAGCTACTTTGTCTCCCAAAAGTTAAGAAAATAATTGTTTTAAAGAAAAAGTTCAATATCAGCCTAAAATAATCATAGTAATTTAACTTTCAAAACCACCTTTATAAAACAAAAACAAATAAAAAACCTAAACTGTATGAAACATCTTTAATGAACTTGGACAAAATGATTTAACTCTTATTATGGTCAAGTTTACTTCATTAAAAAGAATGTTAGTGGAAGGTAAAACAAGAAAAAATAAATAACCCACTTTCTTCGTTGAATCCATTTTTAATACGTCACCAAAAGTTGATGTTATTTGGGCCTTGTTGTCATCTAGCCGGGTAAATACATCCTTGAGGTATACTCCCAGCAACCAAGGCACTTTGGGAACATGAGGCATCACTGGAAGCTGATCACTGGGAGGGAAAACCGTCACCATGTGCCCAGCTGCCTGGAATGACTCCCCAGCCTGCAGATACCTCAGCTGCCGAAGAGCATGAGCCTGGTGTTGCTCCTCAACTTGGTGCATAATTTTGGTGGCCGAGTTGCCCAAGGTCCTCTGTCTGAGGAGTGGAACCACCTTCAAGTCACAAGTGTACCTGAAATCCAAATAATTTTTGTTACAGCAAAAATTGTGTCGAAATCATGCCTAACATTCATAAGTAAAGATTAATTTCTATTACTGTCAACAAACAAACAGTGCAAGTTAAAACTACTTCTTCCTATAATGAGCAATATGACTAAATAACAATTCAGCTGGAAAACTAATTACTTCTCATCTTACCTAAATGTCGGCATTGCTGGGAAGTAGCTTCTCCAACCTAGGTCTAGCTGGTTAAGGACAAGGGGGGACCAGCTTGCAAATTTCCTCTTACAGAATTTGCACTCAAGGTATTCAGTACCGATGTAGTACCAGCCATCTACATCAAGTACTTTTCTTACTGTCTGGTAGAGCCCTGCCAGAGTGAGGTGATACTGCAACACAAAATAAAACATTAAGTAATTTCTTAGTGCTAGAAAACAAAATAAGAAATAGACAGTCACTGATTAACTCAAACTTATAACTTCAACTTAATATATTTCTATCTCATTAAATGCAACCTTTATTTTTCATAAATTTAAACATTTACAAAATATACATATTATATACAAATGATGGAAAGGACGAGAATAAATTGTGTTTCTACTTGAGCAGTGTTTAAGGTGAGTCAGCAATTAAAATATTCTGATGTGAACAAACCGTGGTCTTCTTGGCTGTCTGCTTCACAACACACACTGGATGGCATTTCAGCGTCAAGTTCCAAACTCGTAGTGGTGCCCACAGGAAAAATGGTCTGAGAAAATATGGGTCAGGGGAAGATGGAGGAACCCCTTGGATCTGCAGGGGCTCTGGTGGATAGTGCCACATATTCAGCTTAGGAGCTCCCGCTTTCCAGTAAAGCCTCGGTCACAACCGGACGCACGAATTTCAGGATCTAATGCCAGCTAGGAAAAACATAATTCACTATCAAATTCAGTTTATTTTTTTCAGTGTTTTACATATTATTATTACACTGTGATAAATATCTAGCAGGTAATAAATGTGCATATTTGATCATTTTGAGAAAATCCAAGATGGCCGTCATTGGCCATAGGAATACTACTGGAATTACAACTGCACATCCATGGCTTTTCATCTACTACCAGGGTGAAATTGTGTTTATCAAGTTTTGCCCATCCTTATTAGTCCTATGATATATATCTGGTGGGTAAATACATGTAGTGTGCATCCTTGGATATTCTGAGAAAATCCAAGATAGCTACAATTTGACATAGGAATACTAATGGGTGGGTTTCAATTGCTGCTAGAGAGGCATATGGTTCATTATTCAATTACATTACCATGGGCTTGTTTTAAAAATAATTTATGTTTTTCATTCCATTAATTATTACCACTATGATGTAACCCTGGTCTGTAGCATGTATGTATCTTTGGGTATTCTGAAAAAATTCAAGATGTCTGCCTTTTGTCATAAGAATAGTTGTACACATAATCAAATAATGCCAGAGATACACTCAGTACAATTTAAATGCAGTTAACTTTAGATCGTTTTTATCCTATCAATCCTGATGAAAGACTCTGTGTGTGTAGAAAGTGTATTTATCCTTGAGTACTATTCGGAGAAAACCCAAGATAGCTGCCAGTTGTCAATTAATGGAACAGTTCAGACATTGATTCCAACATGAAATGAAGCCATTTGATGTATAAACATGTTGACATCCTTATTAACCTTACTCAGAGTTACTCTATATAAATCTGGTGTGTAGCAAGTGTACATCTTGCGTATTTGAGAAAGTTCAAGATTGCTGCAATTCACAATAGGAATAGTACAGTCACCTACTGCCAGAGAAACATTGGGTTCAATATAAAATGAATTTTGTTTTTTTGTATTTCCCACATTATTTTTGGACTTTGAAATATCTATCTGATGGGTAACAAGTGTGTACCCTTAAGTATTTTGACAAAATGATCAAATATGGACATTAATTACCTAACAGATATGTATCATGGGATAATAATAATAATATTAAAAACAGAAAACAACTGAATTTAGCTTCATTTTATATGGAAGCCTATCTCTCGCAGGTATTAACTGAACCCCACCTTCTATGGCTAATGGCAGCCATTTTGTATTGTTTTGTTTTCAAAAAGGATACACATAACATTCTCATCACATATATATATTATGTGGATTAAAAATACTCAGAAACAAACCTAATTTATCAATTAATATTATATCTCCATGGCAGAAGCCCTATGTGTATTTTAGTATTCCTTTGATATGGCGGCCATCTTGGATTTTTCTCGAAATGCCTGAGAATAAAAGTTAGTTACTCACCACAAATACATGATTTGTGTAATAAGGCAATCAGAAACAAAGTTAATTAGATAGTGGTCAATGCATCTTCCTAGTTGGCATTAGTTGAAAACCCTTGTACATGTTCTAGTATTCCTATGCCATACAGTGGCCATCTTGGATTTTTCAAAAAGTCCAAGGACACTCGTTTGTTATCTGACATATATGCATAATATGGGTAATAAGGATGTGGAAAACATTGAGAAAATACTTTATTTGATAAAAATCAACATAGGTATGTATATATTTCAAAATTTCACAAATTGGCGGCCATTTTGGATTTTTTTGGCCAAACGGTAAAATACGGCTCTAAATTGATTTAGTATGTCAAAAGGTACCCACATGCAAAATTTGGTGCTTTTAACCGCCGTGTCACAATTTGGCCATCTTTTTGCCCTAAGCCACCGGACTACTTTATTTATCACAATAGGTGTTATTGGGAGATTATTATTTCACACATAAGAATATCTGCCTATTTACAGGGCTTACTTAATAATAGAAAAATGTTGGCTCATATCAAAATAATTTTTAAAATTTTAAATGTTACCTTCTACAATGTTTGGGATATCAAGGCGTGGCAGCTTCACAACCCCTGGGTCAACTGCTGCACGCCTCTTCAGCTGCTCTTCTTTTTTCAATTTAATTGCCTCTTTTCCCTCAGGAAAGGATTCCATGTATTCCTAAAGAAATTGATTCAGAGTTTAAAGTGCTGATATGATGTTGTTAATATAATATGAAAAATTAATCAATANGTGTACGTGGCACACACTCACCACTTACGAAGGGAATGCAACGCACGGCAAAAATAGTGCCCTTTGCGTCAGTTTTGCTTCCTGTTCTCCTCTTCTTTATTCTTCCTCCTCCCTTTTTTCTACTATGTAAGCTTCTTTCTCTTGCCATTTGGAGACATGTTAGAAACTTAACTGAACAAAAATTTGAAAATTAAAAAATTGTTGTACACGTTACACAGTCGACGTTCATTGTAAAGACACGAGCGTACACCAGGCGTGGGGGTGACGCACGTGCGACGCATTCCCAGTGTGCTCTCGACTTTGTTCGTTAGTTGTGAGGGCCTGCGCCTTACTCAACACGCAAAGGGCACTTGCTCCTTCATTGCTTACGACGTGCGTCTTGCACAATGCGCGTCTCTTTTGCTAACTCCAGGCGAGGGGAACAAGTTACGCTTGCGGCCTCGCTTTTCGCAGGCTATTCGTAGAATCTTTTGGACATGTCCAACATGCTCCGTACGTGCTTACGGGCTGTCTGTGAACTCGAAATTGCGTAAGAAGGACTTGCGTGAGACGTGAGATTTTGCTCAAAATTTGGACGCAAATAGCCCGTAAGAGCCTGTACAGCCGGTTGTGACCGAGGCTTAACTGGATTT